ACGCAAGCCACGCGAACAGACACTTTCCCGGCGGCTACTCCGTGAACTGATCTCAGCCCGTACGGGCCACGGAAACTTCGCGGCATGTCATCACCGCTTCAATGGAGTGTGCGTGTGGAGAAGAAACATCACCTCTCCACTTCATTCACTGTCGACTACACGTACGCTAGACGCGTCGACTACGAGGGACAATGTCACATCACGACTTTAGCCACAAACTTCCCGGGCCTAAATGCCCGAACACTTTAAAAAATTTGCGCAGGAAACCGGCTGCTTCGGGGGCCCACCTGCAACTCCATCTCCAGCTCTCAGCGTGGACAGTAGTAACTAGATCATACCACGAAGCATGACGGGCGGGGAAATGAGACGAGAAGTGACATTCTCCAACCACAAACAGGAGTATGGGATTTGGAATTTTGGTTATGGGAGTATGTGTGGGCATTTGTTTTCTTTATTATAACGAGCTACTTGTTGTGTAGTGAGTCACGCGGTGAGACCGAGTCGGGCATGTGGGAAGCATGATCTTGGCCGGGTGCACCGGTCCTTGACTCCTAGGAGATATTGAGCATTGCTTAGGACTTAAAAAATAAAAACAAACAATTTTTTGAAATTCGAATTTTCGAATCTTCACTATTTCCCCCTCTCCCTCCCTCTCGTGCTCGTCGCGTCCCCTCAAAAAAATTATGATCGAGTCACTGGCATTTTCACCATGCCACCTGTTCGTAAAAAGCGTCCCAACGCATAGTTGTACAACACGAGAGTCCACCCGAGGGCTCTCGCTCAAGTGCCTGGCCTTATCAAGTATCCGAAATGCGCGGAGATGAGCAAGGTCTCTACTAAAGGGAAGGAAAAAGCTCTCCCCGCCGTCACTGAGCCCGATACTGACATGATCAGGTCAATTGAAATTGTTGAGGAAATTCCTCAACGAGTCTCCATCCCCCACGGAATTGGAGAATCGTCCAAATCTCCTCTGACAGTGTCAAAACCGTCGGAAAACGCTGCACCCATAGCAGCGTCAACATCAACGTCGCAGCCAACAGCTGCCACGAAAGCAGAGTGTCCCCTCGAGCTCCGACCAATAGTCGAAGCTGAACAACGACGCGCCGCCGAAACAGCGGCAAATCTGGCCATCTCTGGCGTCGAAGCCACCTTCCTCCCTTTGACCAACGGGTCAAACAAACAACTCGTAGACTCCATGAGAGTTTACTCACGCGCCGCCATTGCGCAATACATGGCAACAGGCCCGGCCACTACGCTACCCGTCCTGCCTCCTCGCCCGGCAATCCCTCCCCAAAGGGCTCCCGACGCCAGGAGCATACAAATTCCCGCCGTCCCAGTGCTGCCTATAAAATGCACCTGGGCTACGGTGGCCAGAAACAGACTGCAACAAAAAGGAGTCCAAACTGTAAAGGCTGTGCCGCGACCTGCGGTCAAAGCCCCAAAGAAAGAAGCTCCCAAGGCGAAAGTCGACAAACGACTGTTCCTTCGCCTAGAATAGGAGCACCCGTGGCGCCAGCTTTCGCCAGCTGGCCTACGTCAACAACTACGGAGTGCGCTAGATTGCTTCTTGAGTGACGCCTGCTCTATACACCGTGTTAGAACCGGCTTTTCGATTCTGACAGGGAATGAAAAGAAAAGGGAAGAGCTCCTAGATGCCGCACCAAAGTTTTCGGACTTCGGCGCCAAGCTCGAGGAAGTCTCCAACCTTGACGTCTTTCGGATCGCGAATGTTCCGGCGACCATAAAAACAATCAACTGTATTCATACGGTTCATGCTAGGTGGATCTCATTGGAGATCTACCGAAAAACACATAAGCTTCCACACCAGGTGCTACCGCACGGGACATGCCGTCCTGGAGCACCGTACAGAAATTGGAAAGCCCTTTTCACCCGGGGCAACGACCCTCGCCCGGGCTTCCGCATTCTCGACGAGGCTGGTATGGCTACCATTCACAAGCCTCGTCCACAAATTGAACAGTGCAAACGCTGTTTGGGCTTCCACGCCACCCGTGGTTGCTCCCGCGCTCCAGCCTGCTAGAGCTGCGGGTCTAACATGCACTCGGAAGCCGAGTGCAAGGCCCTCACAAAGTGTTGCAACTGTGGGGGACCTCACCGATCGGACTCTCGGGACTGCCAAGTCAGACCCAGAAAGTCTGGGCCGGTGACAAAGGAGCAGCTCGCATGGATACGCCACCTCGAGCAAGAGAAGTTCGGGGAGGCGGCTCGAGCTAGGGCTGCAGCCAAAAAGGCCGAAGAGGCGATCGTCGCCGCGGCGAAGGATGTCGCAATGGCCGAGGCTACAGGTTTCCGAGTGCTGGGATCTGAAGGAGAAGTTTGAGGACACAGCAACATCGACGATGTCCCCATTGGGGTATCTACTAACCAATAGCAGGATACCGGCTGGATAAAAGGTACCTGCTGTTGTAATTAAGGGAGTAACATGACTGCATTACAATAAACTGTTCACATTAGAATAATGTGCACATGCGCCATGGGATATGATTGACCTAAATCATCACTCATTGGTATGACATAGTATTTCCCAATAGATTCCTAATGGTATCTATTGGCGCTAGGATCTCTCACATCCTTCCTTTCTCGGTTAGACAAGGACAGATGTTGGAACATCCACTAGTGTGCAGAACCCCCTTATTCATGTATATAGAAGAAGGTCCTGTCACGTAGATAAATCAAGCAATTCATACAATAGGAAATTCAAACAATCTCCATATTATTCACACACTTGAGAATACCAGGGAATATCCTCAAGTTCGTCCATTGATCCAAGTCCTAAGAGTATAACTCACGAACTTTACTTCTCTTAAAGCCATAGCTACCTCCTTCCATACCTTCATCCTAACGGTACGTCATTCCAGCTCAGCATAGCCTTTCAATACCTGCTAACTTATCTCTTGCTCTCAGCGGAGAATGAGTGAATTTGTCATTTGGAAGGTGTGACGGACGAGGGACTGTGTGAGGAGCGCATTGGCTGGGTCCAATGTGGAGGAATCTTCTGTTCTATTCGGAGTTAATTTGATTTTCTTGATTTTTCGTTTTTGTTTAATCAGCTGCACTTTAGGCAGCGATTCACGAGGTTGGAACGAGTTAGGCTGTAGGAAAGATTACAGGGAACCCTGCCGGCTCCACCTGTCCTTGACCCAATGTGGAAAACATAGCTTTAGCTTAGGACAAAATAGACAAAACAAACTTAATGCCTCGTGTTAGCCAGCTCAGTCTACATAAACTATCCGACGTGCTGATACTTTTAAATAAGCCCGACATGTTATAAATGGGCCAAGGCCTACCTGCCATGCACCCCGAACTATAGAAAGAAGTCAGAGGTACTCTCGAGCTGTGACTTTTGTATTCTAATACAGTAGAGAAGATAGTTATATACATGAAAAATAAAGTTATCCATCACCTAGACCAGAAGTCTTCTAAATTTAGCTCTAGAAAATATAGGCCAAGTGCATATAATTTGGGGTACTAGTTAGTCTTCTTGTTGCATGCTTCAACAAAGCACGTTTCATGGAGCCATTTACTAAACGCTATGGCTGCTTCAGGTGAGCCTAGAATCCAGCGAGTTCCCGTCGTTGGGTGTTTATTTCCGCTGCAAAGGCGGGACCGACTCCGATTGAGTCGACAAAAGAAGAAGTGCTCGGGAGACTTTTCTAGCCCGCAAGTGCAGATCGGAAGAGCGTCCGAGTGCTGAAAGCGGCGGTGGTAGTCACCGAAGTCTCTATGGCCTGAGCGAGCTGCAAGAAGGCGACCAAGATCGTAGCGGTTAAGGCTCTTGAGTTCGGGGGAGCTCCCAATATTGGCGTTAATTCCCAGTTTTTGGTATCGTTCAGGAGCGTTTTGAGTATCTTGAGTAATGAAGGACGTAAACCCCAACGCCGCACTAATACCACGTGACTAATTTCCGTAATCTTCCCCATAGCTACTCTACCAATGCCAATATTCACACAAGAACATTATACAGTCTGGGGCAATTTATCTCTTTAATTCATGCTGTACTACTACATTCTAGCTTGACACCATCTCATACTCTTAGGGAGGCTACTTGTTGAATGTTTGACGCTGTCAAGCAACTCAGATCGAAAATCACTACTATTACTACAAGTGTTTGCCCTACGGACAAGGGGCCATTTATTTGGTCACCGTACACATACAGCGGTTCGCTAAGGTTTCTGTTCAAGTAACATCTCCGCTGGTGAGATACCTGCCTTGCCGTGGAGGGCCATATTTGGGGTGGTGCGCCAAACTGTTAATGCCGCTAACATTGCTAGTAAGATAGTGGGATCAACGATAATGGTGTACCACCCATTACCCGTACTACCTTCTTTCCTTCGTTTAAAGGCAGGTCAAGTATATTTGAATGAAAGGAGCAACTGTTTTATCTCACAATTTGACGAACCTTTTTTTTCGTTAAGCTCTATCCTGGCTATCCAAATTAGCCTAACCAAGTTTCTTCAATGAATAAGACAATCAAAAGGTTTTCAGTGCCGCTGCATGTCTGATTCCTTGAGTTTGATGTAGTTTGACTTAAAAGTTTATGGAATGAATTGTTCAGTTCGTCCATGCCCTACACATTGAGTCTCTAATCAATGTGGTAGCCTATAGTATGATAGTGGCTTGTGAAGATAGTTGAAGGAGTAAATTTTTAATTACTTGATTGCGAATGATGTTATTTGAAACATATAAGAGGTTAATCCAAAATCTTTCGGGTTAAATAAATTCTAGAACGGCAAGCAAAGCTCAGTTTAAAAAAATATAGCCTCTCTCCTAATTTTCTGCCAATACACATTGCACTTCCAAGCAAATGTGAACCGGAAGATAACAAAAGTGTAACTCGTTTATTTTAGTGTATATCTAATAACCTATATTTTAATTAAACAAAAGATCAATTCAAGAATCCACCCGAGTACAAGATTGTCCAATTTACGACAGCCTGGGGAGTCCTGACATCCTTATCTGTCAGGAAAGTCCTGTAAAACACTTCATGATGTTCCTCTAGCCAACAATTTATTCTCGATTGTCCCATCTAAATAATTGAGAATGTTAGCTAGACTCTCATTTAAGGGAACAGTAATTGTGTAGTAATTGTGTAGTAATTGATTGATCTTACCTCTTAGATCTTCAATGGTATTGCTGAATGCCTTAATAATCTTCTCATATTCGGCTTCATAATCTTCAGGGGTGCTATATTCATCTCCAGGCTCTCCAAAAAGTATCGTTCGGAGTTCATATGCTAAAGCCTTAAAATCTAAGAATTTGGTGGAGAAGTTATCGAGAATTCTTCTTCTAAAGCCCAAGATAGCTAGTTCCTTTGCATCGTAATTAGACTTGATGTTTTCTGTTGACCAAGCTTGTAGATCAATAACTTCTTGTGATTTCTCTCCACGTTCATATGTTATGCATCCTACTATGAACACATAAAAGAACGACTCCAGATCGTGATGAAACGTGCGAGCTATGGTTTCCCCACGATTTGCAGCGGATTGTAGCCTCTCAAGCGCCATGAATTTCATGGTGCCAGTCAAGAACAAGTTGTCATCTTTGCCTGGTGGTGGGTCGACCATTTCGGCGTGATCCAAATCGATCAACATCCCTTGAGTTTTACCACCTACAGTTGCTAGAATGATGTTACCGTCAGAGATGTCACCATGAAGTATTTTCTTTTCGACATATAGGCGGCGGTGTGCCACAATTGCGTCTCGGATGCCAACAAGAAACTCCATAATCGTTTTACTGGAACGAAGACTATGGCCACGAGGTGAGATAACTATTCTGCGAAGTTCTCGATCTCTCAACTGGGGAGTCCGAGGTACCTCTACACCTTCAGCCATGCAGATAAAAGGATTGCAGTCCATCATCTTCAAATATTTCGCATTGCTGAAGTTGAGGTCCTTCAGATGATCACCTATGGTACAGATTATGTCTGCCGTAACATACTCGACTACGCCATCTATTCCATGGGCATGTTGCAAAAAGTCGATTTCTGATTTACCTGGAGTCCTGACCCACGAGTATTTAACAACACTGCTTTTGTCCGAAGTTTCGAAACAGGTAGTTCCAAGAGTGACTATGGTACCCACCATGAAAAAAGGATTCGGATTAATGTCAAACTTCCTAGTCTCCTTCTGTTTCTCATCATAAATGGACACAGAAGACCGTCCATTAACTTTTTCAATAGATGAGTCAATACCTAGTTCTTGATCACTCATGAAAAGGTATGAACAGATCGCTCTCACTAGCTTTTCTTTATCGTCTTCGATATTGAATAAGCCCGAGCTATATGCGCCCGAGCGATTAAACACCCACAGTTCAAAATTTGATTTGAACGCGGTAAATCCATGTACGAAATGACGAAGTGGCTGTGTGTAAAACACTTGGAGAGCAAGTCTAGACAGCTGATAAAACTTTTCGTTCCTTTGACCTGAAGATTTCTTTTTCGTAAACTCACCCAGTACTCTCACATCACTCCATTGATGAACCTTACTATGAGCATTGGAAGACCCGATTCTCTTTGTGAGGAAGTCGGCCTGGTAATCATTGTCAGTACCCCCCATCGGGCATTTATCTGACGAGCGAAAATAACTGCAGCGCAACTTGGAGCCTTCTTCTTCTTTGATGATTGTTGGAAACTTTTCCGATGGTCTGTGGAATTTATCTGTGAGCTGATTCAAAAAATTCTCACGATAAAAATTTAGCCAGTCCCACATTTCATCTTCAGTCATGTCTCCAGTCAGAATCTTGTTAGTAGAGACTATTTCCGGGGTTTTCACAGATACGGCCTCTATCATATTGGTTTTGTTCTGGATATCATTGTTATTTGTATTCAAGATATTTTGCGAACTTTCGAGCGATTCGTTTTCTGCCAAAATTGCCGATTCTTCGTCATCTTTTTTTGTCTGACTTCGGGTTTTTCTGAAAGTTTTTGGTGTTTCTTCCTCCATCACAGTCTCTAAATTTCCGGCCAACTTATTTTTATAACTTCGAGTAACTTTACGAGTATCCTGTAGCCTTCCTTCTTTTCTTACTTCTTGAACCTGGGTTACCTTCTGCTTGTCGTTCATGGTTTCTCTTTGTGTCCCCGTCTCAGCTTTTTCCTGGATCTTAATTTCATTTTGTTCGTATGCTTTATAGCTTTTCCAAATATTCCATGTTTGATCGGACCAATCTTTACCCAGGAAAAGCTCCGTCCAAAAATTGTCCAAATCCACAATTACATTTTTATAAAGTTCATTCCTTAATGCTGCGGTCATAGAAGTGACATTTTTGTTAAAATCTTTTGCCTCTGAAGCACTTCGGGTGAATGTAAATAGACCGGGTGCGGGTGTCAATGTTAATCGATCACTGTGGTCACTACGTTGATTGCTACTTGGTTTATCTGCTTATTTTTCGACAAGTTCAATCGCAATTTTGAATACTTCAGATTCATCTTGGTATTGTGAGATAGCTTGGACGAGAGGTTGAAGTTCTATGAGATTATTCCTATCGGTCGTAATCTCCGCGGAGAAGGTGAAAAATTGACCAGCCAGTTTGCTCAGTTCATCGTTAGGACTGATACCTAGTATATGAGCAGCTAATGTCCCAAATAGTGTCGCGACACCTAATATGTTAGCTTCCGTTCCCTTGCTTATTCAGTGAAAATTACCATTTTTAGCACTCTTCTCTGTGTAATTGTTTCGAAATGTTGTAAGAGTAGCTTCGATTGGTTTCTCTTTGAGATGAGCAAAAATTTCCGGATAGTGAGACATTTCGTAAAGTGTTGGTTTGAAAGTTGTCGTTTCGATGAAAGTGATTATGGAAAGTGAGATAGAGAGCAACGAAGCGCATCAGTCGCGTGGATATAGGGCGGATGGTCATATGAGAGTGATGCATCAAGGCATCTTCCTGCATAACCGCTTTATTCTTAACGCCAGCGCAGAAGATTTAGTCATAGCCATTGGTGTCAGTGTACCTGCTCACTATGCCCTGCATATCTGGGATAGCTAAGAACAATTGAATCCCAATAAATGTTGAAGGCAACCTCCTGTATATCAAAAATCGACGAATTCCCGTGAATTTCCGAACTATAGGCAATGAGCTTTTCTGGCCCATTTACTCGTGTCACGTCTGAAATGATTGGGTTTCCTTTCTGTCAAATTGTAATTTTCAAGTTCAAGTCTAATTGTAGACCTTTCATTCTCACAAGAATCCTCTAGTTCAATCTTTCTGCATCACCTCGTGTCAACCACCCATGATGGCATTACTCCAATTGAAATCTGGAATCTGCCTCATCAAGGATTGGCCATCTTGCACTACAAAGCTTGGGCATTGGTCCCTGGGGGACCATTGCTCTAATGGTGCTTCACATCATGAGGGATAACAGTAAGCCGGTGCATAGGATGAACAAATGATGTTTGGGATAAACTACACCACAGACTACAAGAACTTCAACCTTAGTACAGGCTACGGTCTCGGCTTTACGGGTCCATACAAATATTTGTGAAACGTCAAGTCATGTTCAGGCATTCAAGTTGGTATCTTGTCTAATTTCGTTCTTTTACAATCACGGACTTATTGTTTTTGCGGGTTTTTTTTTTGGCATTAGATTTTAATTGCGTATGCAGCTATCTAGCTATGACGCAATATCAAAGAAAAGTACAGAAAAGATGACTCAATTTACAAGAGGAGCACTCATGCCTCAGATTTCATTTGCAAGTACCACTGCAAAGTTATGGCAGCTTTTTCTTTACCCCAAATTAACCCTCATCCGTGAATACCCACCCAGGGAAACTTCTCAAAAACCCTGAGTTATTGTTACGGTTTGACCGTGGTTTAGCTTAGGCGGAGACCTAAGCGGAGTTTGGGGGCGTATTCGGGAGAGTGTTACACATTATCTTGTATCAAGCGACTTAGTTTCACTTGGCCACATTACATTAAAGCTAGGAAGGAATATGAGACGGCGAAGTAGAATTGCCAAGTGAGAGAGTCAGCTAGATGGCAAAGATGACGACGGGCAGTGGCGAAGCAATATGTCATTCTCACCAACAGAGTACGTATTGGATGAGCTAGAAGGATGTACAAATAGTCACTGCCCGTAGTTGTGATACTTCTCTCTTCATATAGTTTTATCTTTCTAAAAGTACACTACAACCAGCATGGTTTCGTCACAGTTATCCAAACATGCCTCCATCATCTTTCCACTTTTCTCCGCGCGAAATATGGTCTGGGTGTTGTGAATACCTCGGGTCAGCTCCGATCGAGCCTCATCGGGCTCCCACCATCGCGGCACTCGGACACTCGGCCGCAGTAAGCTAGATGAGATTAGGGCACTGGCAGCACAGCTAAGTACCTAATCACTCTGGCAACATCCCTACATCCGAGCGTTGCCTGGTGGACCAATGCGTTTAGACTGAGGTGCACATCACTCTGATGGCTACCGAGGGGCAACAGCATATAATGTGACGACGGTGTATAGCTCTGCAATCCCAGGAGTTCCACACTAGCAACCAGTGTCAATAATATGTTGTGACAGGAGATATTGGTAGGGGCTATGGAAGCGGTTACTGTGACAGAAGTAGGAAGCACCTGTGGTGAGTGCGTGATCAGGACTGGGGTACTGAATGTATATATAAGGAAGCAATACTTCCGCAGATAGTCTGAAAATTAACCATCTCACTACTGTCCATTCCAACCCTTCTTCTCACTACAGCCATATCAATTATATCCGCGCATCCATAATAATTTGCATCCATTTCAGGTATTCCTCTGTCCCCTCATGACCTCGTTATCATAACACTGGGGTGTCTCTTTCCCAAGTGGAGTAGGTGCCCAGGACACTCAGACTATACCGGAGAACACCACCAGGAGGCGGATCATAACGCTTTCCATCGTTGGCTTGTGTTTGTAGTGTCAGCTACGCTCACCAAACTCGGGACTGTCCTAGGAAAAGGGCTTCTTGTGCGAACTGCGGCAAGGAGCACCGTTCGTGGCAGAAAGCAGCGTGTCGGGCCTACCAGGTCTACAAGGGTAGTGTGGAGAAGGCTCGGATGGAGCTGTTATCGAGGACGGCAGAAATAAGGAATGAAAAACCAACAATGGTACCAATACAAATAGTCGGACCGACTGATGATCAACGATTCACTTCGGTCACCAGTAAAAAGGCCGAAGGACTCAAAAGAGGGACGGGACGACCACGCAAGGTAGTCGAAGCCTATAAGGAAATGGTTAAACTGTCCTTTGCAGCTATTGATGGTGACATGAATTAAGATGATGATTGTGATTGAGATAGATTTCTATATAGTCTATAATACATGATATGCTCAGGTTCATATACCTCGAGCCAAGCAACCAGATTATGTTCCTCCAGATCTAGATTCATCAGAATAATTACTTACTCAGTAAAATTCTCCTAGTCTCAGTTGTGTGTTTAGGATCTTGATTAGGTTTCTAGTAACTAGTCAATGATGTTTCTCATATCACTGAGACATAGTCATGGTTGATACAACAGGTACAAACGATGAATCGTGTCTGTACATGACGTTGTGATATAGTCATGATCGTCTGAACAATATCAACTCATGAATGAATCATGTCTCTACATGACAAAGCCCCAGTGGCACCAATCATCGCCTCTACAGTAGCACCACCGTCGGGGCCATCTCTTCGAACACTTCGAAGACCAACGCCGAGTGAGGAGGTGCCTTCTCTTTTTAAATTCTCATAACGATGGTCTGATTGAAGGGGGAGTCAATGAATTTAGAGAAAAGTTTACATAATTGCGTTTGAAAGGAACGTCCTCAGCATAAAGTCGGGTCGGTTCAAAGTGGCAGGACATCGGGTTTTGTTTGTTAAAAGCTTTTTCCCTTACCAAAGTGGCTTACCGTCTTCATGTCTCTGTATATAGATACCGCATAGGACGTTAAACTAGAACAATGAATGAATAATATTAATAATAGTAAATGAGTTCGAAGTACCGGCGCACCTGCTTAGGTAAGTAGCATGGATTTGATTACTAAGACTCAAATACGTATTACTAGCTTTCGTTGGATAGAATAGAGAATCTAGTTATTTTATATATATTTTTACCATCACCTAAGTGAAGTCACAGATGAAGTGTCTGGATCAAAGTAGCTCCAGATCCTTAGTAGATTAGCTTCATATTTGAACTGCTCATACCATCTTTTCCAATCTGAGCTTCTTTCGAGAACGAGAACCGATGTGCTCGGAGAGTTTGCAAACTCCATAATTGAAAGTTATAAGATTTTTAGGACAAAAAATTAAAACAAAATAAGATGGTTCCACAATAAAGTATGATCTTATGCTTAGGATGGAACTAATAAAAATAGAGTGAAGATAACGTGTAGTTGGTCGATGTTAGAGATGTTTCTCAAGTATTTGATCAATTGGATAAGGTAACGCTATCCGGACTCATGACTATTAGACTTTTTATGAAAAATGAGGTTTGCATTTGGTAAAATGAAAATCTGTTTATCTTTTTTTTAAGGTCAGAACCTCTTCTATATATTTAATGATCATATTTGATCCAACTTCAGTCTCAGTTTAATCTGAAACATCCAGAGCGACGTTTTCAGCTAACTCTGTTTCGTTATGCGGAGATAACAATTACAAAACAACCGCAAAAACAATAAGTCCGTGATTTGAATTTGAATTTGATTTCATCATCTTGATTTGGTGCCCTATGGGCCCATGTAGGTGTGTATCATACTCTCTAATTTACGTGGGAGGACATCTTTTGGTGAAAACCCCCCAAACCTTCTATTGTGAGGTTATGGATCGTAGAGAAATGCTGGAATGGTATAGGGAGGTGAAGGATATATTCCGAACAACGAAGCAGTTAAATAGAGCTTTAGGGTGAATCTTGGTAGGGTGACACCAAGAGGGTATGAATAGACCTTCAGAGATATTCTGTAAATGTAATGAATTGAGGATTTGTGAAGGAGAAGAACACTACATATATATACAGGAATTAGTCCTACTGAGACGACTTTAGAAATAAGCCAGGATATGCGCCCATGTCCCAGTATGGCGACATTATCATGGTGAAGGAATGTCTTGACCACCAGTAGACCCCCAAGCTAGCTGAGTGTAAGACAGAATTAGGCATATACCATAATTTCCTACATATCTTGTGTTAAGCGCCAAGATTAATTAACATTACAGAAAAATAGATGTGGCGCAGTATTAAATGATACGAATAATGGAAACGAAACCAAGATAGTACATGACTAGTGTAACAGATGCAGGACTGTTAGAA